ACGCTGGCCGCCGAAGTATGGCTGCCATGGCTGGTGGATGTCTCCGACATCTCATCAAACTTGATGAACTGACCGACCTGAGCAGCTGCAAGGGCGAAACCCCCCATCGGCGCAGTCCTAGGTGGCTTCCCCACCGACAAGGCTCGCCCAGAGAAGATTCACCAGAAGAAGCCCTTGCAGACGGTGACAAAGCCGGCGACGTGCAGCACCCTCTAGTGTGCCTCCTCCTTCGGCGGAAGTGGCCCCTTCTCGGCGAAGGTGGCCAGCACCATCTCATCTACGTTGGATGACCTCTAGCTTGACATCGCGCTTCGGGTTCACGAACGGAACTGTGAGTTCTCCTCTCCCTCGTATCACCCTCTCCCACTTAGGAACCGCCGTGACGCACGAACGCACTCGGCGAGAAGGAAAAAGGAGAGGCAGCAGCTCAAGAATAGGCAGAGGGACAGGACGAGAACCCTCTCCCTTCCCCTATTTAAGGAGGAGACGCAACAGTTGGAGAAAGGCGAAGGGTTGGGCAAAAACCCCTCTCCCTTCCCCTATTCAAAGCAGATGGGAATTCGATGAGACGCGTCTTGACCGATGAGACGCGCCCTGCTCGACGAGACGGTGCCTGGTCAAATGGGACATGGCCTGGGCATGGCCCACCACTACCGCACGCCGGGCATGAGAAACAAGGCACAGCCGCATGCAGGCGGCTCTCCGCCTTCCTAGGTAGGACTTGGAAGGGCCCAACGACGGAACCTTCATCAAGGGGAGACCAATGGGACTCCTAAGTCGATCGGATGGCCCAAGCAAATGCCGAGCGAAATGGTCGCCGAAAGATAAGCACTCTTATTTACTTACTTTACGTATCAATTTCACTACTGAGCCTCCAACCCCAGAAGCGGTAGGGGCGCGGACATTGCTCGGGGCTGCCAAGAGTGTCTACTCGTTTAGACATTCTCTTTGCCCAACCCCTCCTTACGTTTAAAAATCGGAGACATGGTGTGTGGGTGTAAACTTTGAGTAAAACTGGTCGAACCGCTAGACCCTACGCCCCAGCGGCTACGACGTTTTTATTCACCAGCGTGATCGAATTCTTGGTTCTCGCACCCCAACCTTTAGCATCCGCCTTCTCGAGAAGGGTTCAGAGGGGTCTACCTGTAGAATCTCCTTCAAGGAGAAGCTGTCAGGTCGCCCAAGTCAATCGAACGGCTCGGATCGCTGTCGAGAGACAAAAACGAAAAATTGCGATGCTCGTGCAGGTTATGCCGGCCCCGTCGCAAACGTCGGACCCAAACCCTACACGAACATGTCCGGTAAGAGCTCCCCGTCACTCATGCCACCAAGGTAACATCACCGACCCTCGCTTTCGTTTCCATTATATTGTACAATCATCCCATACATCTAAGCGTTGCATATGCAATTGCCGCATCTCAACGCTTCGCGTCACGTCACGAAGCGGTAGTCGTCTCATTCGATATGAGCGGCAACTGACCGAGGTTCGAAGGCCGGCCCACGAAGGGCTCGAGGACGCCTCATGTCAAACAGAGCCAGGGGAGAAAAACCGAGATGAGACCCAGCGGCCTTGCCTGACCCCGCTTAGAAGCGGATAGGGACGTCTCGACCTTTCTCGTTTGATTCTAACCTCGAGCCAAATCCATAGAATCTCCGTCGAGGAGAGGCGAACAGGCCACCCGAGCGTATCAAACAGCTCGGGCATCTACCGGGAGGCAGGTTAAGAAGTAGTGGAATGCCACATGAGGGCTCTGTCGACCCCGTCAGCGGATGACGGACCCGAATTCCACTCGAACGTGCCCGTTAGCGAGCTCATTGAGTGCAACACTCGAGCCGTCGAGGCAAGTGCCGTTAGCTTAGCCCCTCCGATTGCGAAAACCGAGGATGGGGTGACACGTGAAACATGGTCGGCCCCTATCAGGCCCCAAGGGGCTCGAGGGCTCTAGCCTCCCGATCCTAGATCGAGAGATCGAGGTTCGAAGGCTGGCCCACGAAGGGCCTGAGGCCGCCTCATGTCGAACAAGAGCCAGGGGAGAAAACGCATATGAGCCTCAGCGGCCTTCACCCAACCTGCATAGAGGCGGATAGGATCATCTCAACCTTCTCGTTCGATCTAGCCTCTAGCCGAGCCCATATAATCCCCATTGAGGGGGAATCTGTTGGAATGCGGGTTAAGGAGCAATGGAATGCCACCTGAGGGCTTTGCCGACCCTGTCACGAGCGACGGGACCGGATTTCGTTCGAACATCCCCATTAGCGAGCTCATCAAGCACGTCACTCGAGCCATCGAGGCAAGTGACGTCGCCTCAACCCCTCCGATTGCGAAAACCACGGACAGGGCGACAGTCACAAAAACGAGCCGACCCTTGATCGAATCCCCTCCACGCGCGGGGGCTCGGGGAAGATTAGACTTGCAAGGAGACCGAATGCACAGTTGTAGAACGATAGCTAAAATCCTAAGGAAGGGGTACGTGTGAATACAAGAGTAGTTTCGCTATCCTCTCTTTGGTCTCCAGTGACATTTGACCCTAGCAACCGCAAGGGTCGGATCTCACTCGGGGGCTGATAAAGGTATAAATAACCCCTTTTTCTTTCGAAACAATCGCTGCGTCGGACCTTTTCCTCACGTTAAGGTTAGTGGCAAGGTTTGTGGGAACGAATAACTGAGCATGCCTAGTCAAACTACAAAAAACCCACGCCCCGACGGCTATGGTAACTATGCTCACCAGCATAATCGAAGTTTCCCTCTTACACACCTCGGGTCCTATGGTCTTAAAGGACGAAAGGATCGGATTGGACGAGCCCCTTTTTTGAATACAAAAAGGGAAGAAAGCAAGTTCAATCAAACAAAACGAAATTACGAATTTGTTTAACGAAATGAAATTGCAAATCTATTTTCAAAATACAAAAGTGCCGACACTTGTCCATAGACTACAGATAAATATCCATCAGACTCATTCGACTAACTACCCTCTTCGGGGGAGAACCAAATCTTATAGCCATACCCGCGAAGGGTCTGAATTACCCCCGAGTGATTCTATCCGAATCACCTAGGGGCTCGAGGGCTACACCCAACGGGTGTGCTCGCGCGCACCCTCTGGTAAATTGAAATACCCCCTAGGCGATTCTATCCGAATCACCCAGGAGCTCGAGGGCTACACCCAATGGGTGCGCTCGCACGCACCCTCTGGTGAATCGAAATACCCCCCGGGTGATTCTATCCGAATCCCCGGGGGCTCGGGGGCTACTATCGGGGACCAAATACTGGGGTACCCAAAGAGGAGGAGCTAATAACCATCAAATGTTGATGCTTCTGAACAGACAAGAAGGCAACAACACATCTTGCCCAACGACTGAAGGTTGGCTCCGCCTCGCCCGACCCCTGAGGGCTGGATCCACCTCGCCCGACCCCCGAGGGCTGGACTCCACCTCGCCCGACGTCTGGGGGCAGACTTCGCCTCGCCCGACGTCTGAGGACTGGCTCCGCCTCGCCCGATGTCCGAGGGCTAGCTCTGCCTCACCCGATGTCTAAGGGCAGGCTCTGCCTCGCCCGACGTCTAGGGGCTGGGCTCCACCTCGCTCGACGTCCAGGGGCAGCCTTCGCCTCGCCCGACGTCCAGGGGCAGACTCCGCCTCACCCGACGTCTGAGGGCAGACTCCGCCTCGCCCGACGTCTAGGGGCAGACCCCGCCTCGCTCGACATCTGCGCGCTGCTCCCTCATAACTACGCGCGCAGATAAGGCAGGACATTCAAGTCAACCGCAATACCGAGGACCATATCCTGCACGCCTGTAGGAAAGTACCATTAGGATATAACCAGACGGGCCCTTTTGGCCCTTCTAGGCATGTCCGAGCCCAAATAGTATTGCGGGCGCCAATATTTATCCTACAGTGTTATGGGCGCCAACATTTGCCCTCGGACACGAATCCTGACGAAAACATACGACAACCACTACGGTCCAGAAGGAAACTCATGTCATCTACAGTAATGAACGTGGGGCCTCTACGCCGTTTGCTCCCCATAGGGTCGCGGCTTGGCACCCTGGTGCGTCGCGCCGCCCGTCGGGGCGGGACGGGACGTGACCACTTGCTGAACGAAGCCAGAGTACGACCCTATCAGGATCAGCGAATGTGCTATCCCTGGCACCGTTTGCCGTATCAGCGGGACTCGCTCAGAGGAAAAAGGAGACCCAGCATCTTTGAAGGACCTTCTTAGCCTCTGGTTCTTCTTCTTTCTTCCGTTTTGTAATCCCTGCTCCCCTTGATCTATAAAAGGGAAGGCAGGGCACCCACTAAGGACGGATCGATTCAACACACCACGCACCACATAACACACAACTGAGCAGCAACCAAGCTCTCAGCACCTATTCGGCCTTTCCATCAGAGACTTGGGACCTGTCCCTCTCTCGACCGTTTATACCCCCTACTACACCGACTACTACACCGACAGATATGCCTCTCGTGATGCTTAGTTTCTTCTCAACGATAATGCTATTACCTTGATCTACACTGCTAGAGAAGCATATTCCACCGAGAAAAATGCTAAGATCTCTTTTGGTATGCATGTTTTTCTAATTTTGTTTTTTTCATGTGAAATTATTGTATGATTCCAATAAAATTAATGACTCATAACAATCAAGAGAGCCAAAACTCTGATTATTATAATATACAATCTTGACTATATATAATAATTATATGTATAATCTAGTTTATAATTATTCGTCTGAACTGGCGTTAGTTTTTCGCATAGAAAAATAAAAGCGACTTATAATTTTGAACGGAGGAAATATAGTAATAAAATTTCCAATGAGCTTTCCATATGCTCTCACTGAGTCACTGTCCCCACTCCTGGTAAGCCCTGGGGGCCAACTGATTTCGCGATATACTATTTAAATAAACACAGCAGGAAACGGCCCACCCCCTTCGTGCTTGTTTGCTCGCTACGTTTTTGCCACGCCGCCGCCGTCCCTCTGCCCCTCCCACACCACCGATACACCAAGATGACGGCGCAGGCTGCGGAGGAGCTCGCCACCCAGATCGAGCAGCAGAAGCTCGAGGAGCAGAAGACCGAGGTGAGATTTCTCAGAGAGAAGCACTTGTACTAGAAATAGCTTTCACGAACACAATTCGAACCGACACCAGCGTCGCCCCTAGCGGTAGATCGGGTTGAACAAGGCTCGCCGCTACTACACCCCTTCCTCCTTAGCCTCGCCGCCGCCGGAAGTCTCCCGCGCGGCCTTAGGGACGGCGGCGGCGGGTGCTTTTCTTCACTCGGGTTTGCCCCGAGATCCATCATCCACGGTGGTCACCACGGAGACGGACTGCGACCGTCGTTTCCCAGGTTCAGGGTGCCGGCGACGGCCAGATCCGGTGCCTCCACAGTTGGATCGGGTGGCCCCTTTGGTTGGGAGGTTGGAATAGCGCGGATCCACGCGGGGGCAGGGAACCACCGTCGGCGCGGGCTTAGCTCGGACACGCTGACTCTTAGCCGGCTTCTTGTCTGTGGTATTAGTTTTCATGTAGGTGTGTGTAGTGCCTTTTTGGGGGTGAAGTGAGGTCCGGTGTAGGAAGTTGGAGCTGTTTGGCCATGGCTACGCCTCCGCAATGATGACTTGGGTTGGGCTCCGTTGTGTTGGGTTGGTTGTTTCAGAGACACTATCATAGTGGGTTTTTGCAAGTTTTTGATTAATTAACCATGCAATTCTGATGTTTTTTTTGTTGGGCTCAATTTTTCTCATAAACCAGGTCATTCTTTTCTACCAATAGTGAACTTTAGGAACTCCCTTCCCCTTTCAGAGGTTGCTTCAAAAAAGATTTCACACAAAGAAAATCTCAATGTTCGTCGTTCTGAATCGGAAGTAGAATCAGTGATGCATAGGCTAGGATACTGTGGTCCAATAGAAACTTGATGTTTTTTCAGCTAGCTGCGGATTCGTTAACCTGAAGTGGCTGTACATGGGTCTGGTTGATCATGTAAAGTTTCATCTTTTAGTATTATTATTGTTATTATGGCTGGTGGAAAATTTTTATGTGATCCTTTTAATCTCACTTGCTGTTTTGCTATATGTTTTTGTGATATAATGCTGTCCACCAACTATTCTGATCTTGACACCGGCATGCTTATCTGTTGAATGCCATGGACAGGCAGAGGAGGTTGTGGTGGAGGATGAGGACGATGATGACGATGACGATGACGATGACGATGACGCCAAGGATGATGATGAATTGGATGGTGAGTTATTATGATATGGTACTGTCTGTTTAGCGCTATTTAGGCATGTCGGAACCCGGGTATGGTGTTAAATGAGCAAGGGCTGTGTCGCGATCTGGACATGGTGTCAAGTGAGCAAGGATCAGGTCGTCGCATCCTTAGTGGCGCGCCACATCGGTGCCCGGGTGTGTTGCAAAATGAGCAAGGGTCTTCACACCTACCTCGGCGGGTGCGAAGGGTAAGGAAGTTAGTCGAGCCAACTAGGATCTGTTTAGGTAGCTGGAATGTAGGGTCCCTTACAGGTAAGTTAAGAGAGTTAGTGGACACAGCGGTTAGGAGGCGTGTAAATATCTTATGCGTCCAAGAGACTAAATGGAAGGGATAGAAGGCGAAGGAGGTGGACAATACCGGCTTCAAGCTCTGGTACACAGGGACAACTTCAAATAAAAATGGAGTTGGAGATTTGATTGATAAGAGCCTCAAGGATGGTGTGGTGGAGGTGAGAAGGCAAGGGCATAGGATCATCTAAGTTAAACTTGTCATTAGTGATATGGTCTTAAACATAATTAGTGTGTATGCCCTCCAAGTAGGCCATGATGAGAGTGCTAAGCGGCTTTTCTGGGAAGACTTAGATCGCTTGGTTAGAGCTGTCCCTAGTAGCGAGAAGCTCTTTATATGAGGTGATCTTAATGGCCATGTAGGTACATCAAGTGCAGGTTTCGAGGCGGTTCATGGGGGTTTCGGATATGGTAGTAGGAACCAAGAGGGAGAGGAAGTCTTAGACTTCGCCATAGCTTTTGATCTGATGATAGCTAGCACTTTCTTCCGTAAGAGTCAGCCTCATTTAGTGACCTTTCGTAGCGGCCAGTACTCTAGTCAAATCGACTTTGTCCTTACAACAAGGAGGGATAAACGAACATGCGTGGACTGTAAGGTGATACCTGGAGAATGTGTGGTCGCTCAACACAAGCTGGTGGTGGCCGATTTCCGCTTTCTGGTGCAAGCTCGTGGGAACAAACAAGCTAGAGTTGCTAGAACGAAGTGGTGAAAATTAGAAGGGGAGGCATCAAAGGTCTTTAAGGAAGAGGTCATTGAAGAGGGCCCTTGAAATGATGAAGGCGATGCAAACAACATGTGGGAGAAGATGGCAACATGCGTTCGGAAGGTTGCTTCAGAGGTGCTTGGAGTGACCAAAGGGAGTGGATGCGACTCGAAAGACACTTGGTAGTGGAATGAAGATGTGCAAAAGGCTATTAAGGAAAATGAGTGCTATAAGCGCTTGTATCATGACAGGTGTGCAAACAACATAGAGAAGTACAAGGTGACAAAGAAGACTGCAAAACGAGCGGTGAGTGAGGCAAAGGGGCGGGCCTATGAGGACCTTTACCAATGTTTGAGTATAAAGGAAGGAGAGAAGAACATTTATAGGATGGCTAGGGCTCGCGATAGGAAGACAAGGGATTTCAACCAAGTCAAGTGCATAAAGGATGAGAGGGAGCAACTCTTGGTGAAGGAGGATGAGATCAGACATAGATGGCAAGAGTATTTTGATAAATTGTTCAATGATGAGAACGAGAACATCACTGTTCAGCTGGACGACTCGTTTGATGACACTAACAGGCGCTTTGTGCGGAGGATTCAAGAATCGGAGGTCAGAGAAGCCTTAAAAAGGATGAAAGGGGGCAAAGCGATGGGCTCTGATGGTATCACAATTAAGGTGTGGAGATGTCTCGGGGATATAGCTATAATATGGCTAACCAAGATGTTCAACAATATCTTTCGATTGAACAAGATGTCTGAGGAGTGAAAAAGAAGCATATTGGTACTAATCTACAAGAACAAAGGAGATATCCAAAATTGTACTAATTATCGAAAAATTAAGTTGATGAGCCACTCTATGAAGTTATGGGAGAGAGTCATCGAGCAGCGTCTGCGAGGAACGACGTAGATATCAACAAACCAATTTGGTTTCATGCCCGGAAGGTCAACCACAGAAGCAATCTTCTTAATAAGATAGGTTATGGAGCGATTTAGAGAGCAGAAGAAGGAACTCCACTTGGTTATCATTGACTTGGAGAAGGCTTATGACAAGATATCAAGAAATGTTATGTGGTGGTCTTTAAACAAACATAAAGTCCCATCAAAGTAGTGACCCTCATCAAGGACATGTACACAATGTTGTGACTAGTGTTCGAACAAACGACGGTAACACAGATTATTTCCCGATTAAAATTGGACTTCATCAAGGGTCAAGCCTTAAGCCCGTATCTCTTTGCCTTGGTAATGGATGAGGTTACTAGGAACATACAAGGGGATATCCCTTGGTGTATGTTGTTCGCTGATGATGTAGTGTTAGTGGATGAAAACCAGGCGGGAGTAAATAGAAAACTAGAGTTATGGCGGCAGATCTTTGAGTCTAAAGGTTTTAGATTGAGCAGAACTAAAACCGAATACATGAGATGTGATTTTGGCGGAGTTGTACCGGAGGAGGGAGATGTGAGTTTGGAAGGTCAAGTAGTGCCTAAGAAGGATACCTTTAGGTATCTGGGATCGATGCTACAGAGGGATGGAGATATTGATGCGGACGTTAGCCATAGAATCAAAGCAGGGTGGATCAAGTGGCGACAAGCTTCTGGCATTGTCTGTGACAAGAGGGTACCACAAAAGCTAAAAGGCAAGTTCTATAGAACGGTGATTAGACCGGCTATGTTGTATGGAGTAGAATGTTGGTCTACAAAGATTCGACATGTTCAACAACTGAGTGTTGCAGAAATGCGTATGTTGCGATGGATTTGCGGTCACAGAAGAATGGACCGAGTTCGAAACGATGATATATGTGATCGCCTAGAAGTAACACCAATTGAAGAAAAGCTTGTCCAACATCGGTTGTGGTGGTTTGGCCATGTCCAAAGGAGACCTCCAGAGGCACCATTGTATTGTGGAGTCCGAAGCCAAGCTAATAATATGAGAGGTAGAGGAAGACCGAATTTGACATGGGGGAGGCAATAAAAATAGATTTGAAAACTTGGGATATACTTAGAGATCTATGTTTGGATATGAGTACTTGGAAAGCAGCTATTGAGGTGCCTGAACCATGGCTTGGGGCTCTTGATGGGTTTCAATTCTAGCCTACCCCAACTTGCTTGGGACTGAAAGGCTATGTTGTTTTTGTTGTTGTTGTTGTTGTTGTTGTTGTTGTAGGTTGATGATAAGAATGTAAATCTGTGAAAGTAGTGACAAAAGAAACGTCGTATAATATGTTGAAACTCGTAATGCTTATAATTTGTTGTCATTGGCTTGGTTATGTTTGAAGTGTCACTCTTCAGCCCTCGTGAAATGATTTATCACTAATGGTTTTTGTATTAAGCGCTACTAGAATCAGTTCGGTGCCACATCAGTGGTGCTACTGTAGGTCCATGAGTCTGGATGTTTAATTGTTAAATGCTGTACATGTTAGAGCAAGGGGCATGCATAGTTTTTTTTTAGCTTGCCTTGAATACTTGTAGGTAATTGATGATTTTGCTGCTATTGTTTTACATATTACATATATGGCTTATACGGCATAAGTGTATAGTTTTATGTACATATCAGGTACATGTCAACCACATTCTTTAGAAAAAAACACATGCCAATTATGCATAGTCACATACTGTTTATAGACAAGTAAACTGCATTGCTTAATTAGGCAGTCTCATTTGTTGATGACCGAGAAGACTGGGCAAACAAATGTTATGCCATGAGTTTTCTTGTTTCCCCTGTATCCCTTCACAGGGAATTTGCTGACTGTTTGGTTCTCTGGTGTGTGGAACAATTACTATACCTGTGCTCTGACAAGTATTGATCACATTTTCATCTTCAGGACAAGAAGGGGATGCCAGTGGCAAGTCCAAGCAAAGCAGGAGTGAGAAGAAGAGCCGCAAGGCCATGCTGAAGCTTGGCATGAAGCCCATCACTGGTGTCAGCCGCATCACTGTGAAGAAAAGCAAGAATGTAATTCATCATTCACTCATAGTCAGATCACGCAACCTGACATATATTATATATTGTTTGGCTAACAAGCTATTTTTCCAGATGCTTTTTGTCATCTCCAAGCCAGATGTGTTCAAGAGCCCAAATTCAGACACCTACGTCATATTTGGCGAGGCCAAGATCGAGGACCTCAGCTCTCAGCTGCAGACCCAGGCTGCAGAACAGTTCAAGGCTCCTGACTTGAGCCAAATGATCTCGAAGCCTGAGACATCTGGTCTGGGTCAGGAGGACAATGAGGAGGAGGTTGATTTAAACTGGTGTTGAGGCCAAGGACATTGAGCTGGTCATGACCCAGGCATCTGTTTGAGGCCCAAGGCTGTCAAGGCTCTCAAGGCTTCTAATGGGGACATCGTCACTGCCATTATGGAGCTGACTAATTAGTGTTATTTTGTCAACCCGTTTTTTTTAAAGCCAGATGTATGGTATGCTATGCAGCTTGAGCATTATCTGTGGACCATATGCTTGCTTAGATAATTTTATCATGCTTGCTTCTTCGGTCAAGGACTCAAGGTCATTCAAACATGGTTTCATCTTTGCTGGCTTGCTGCATAGCAACAGTTTATGGCATAGGCTGTTTGTCTATGGCTCTGGTATTCCGGTGATGCCACAGGATTTTTTTTTCTTTTGGGCATTTTTCTGTACCTCTATTGCTGTTATTACATCATTGGCGAGCTGGGTAAGATTAGACCTAATCAGGGCTGTGTGGGGCCTTTTTTTTTTTGCCCTGCCCATCTGATGGGCAATGTTGGGTTGGGTCAGTCTATTTCTTGGGACCTGTTATGTTTATATGACCATAACTTGCCGCGTCGCAAGTCTGTCGTGCCATAGTTTTTAGATGTGTTTGATTCACTGCCGCAACTATGACAAGCCACACTTTTTTAGCATCCTGTCCCATACGTTGTAGACTCGTTTTCTAATCAAACTTCGCCACAAATGTGGCTTTGATTTTGCTCACCACAGGTTGCCGAAAGTTAAGGCATGGCAAGTTTAGTCATGAACCAAATAGGCGCTTGGTTTTTGTTTTCTTATGTTGGGCCGGCTTTTTTCAGGTTGGGTTAGGTTATGGGTCGTGAATTATGGTCTGACTGTATTGGCTTGGGTCATTGGGTCTTTTTAGGGGACTGTTCTATAAACTTTGTTGAACAAATGTCACTGAGTAGCTTCACAAAGACCTAGAGCTTCTTGAGCATCTCTTTAGATGCTCTTACAACTTCTTATTTTTAAAGGAGTCTTTAGATGCTCTTACAACTTCTTATTTTTAAAGGAGTCTGTGGAGTTACACCTATTTGGCTGAAAAACATGGAATGAAGTAGTCCCAAACAGATATAGTTTTAAATAGCGGGCTATTGAAAATAGCGACAACTTTTTTTCAACGGCTATGAGGCTACAGCGACGCTATGACAGATAGCGATTTTATAAAGAAAACATGAAAACACCAATAATTGATGAAAAAAACATAGTAAACATGAAATTCGATGAACACAAATATGTTTCTAGTCTAGGTAACATTACTAATATGACATTACAACATGGTTCATGAAAGCCCAGTGTTTAATTATCTAAAATACCAAATTAGTAGCAAATAATAAGTAGGAAATAACAAATTAAATTGTCAAAATCTATTAGTGATGGCAAAATATGAAATAGTGCCGCTATTTGAATGCTAAAGCTATGCAATTAGCGGGGCTATAGCACATAATAGCGGTTAAAGTTGGCATAGCGGCACAAATAGAAATAGCTTAGCGTTGAGTCTCTCCGGCCGCTATAGCGGCGCTATAGCCCGCTATTTTTTTCTATGCAAACAGATCCCAAGTAATGGGTTGTCTATCCTATACACCGGTCAGTTTGGTTTGTGCTTGGTTTTTCTTGTGAATTGGTTGGGATGGATGGTCCATAATTAGGTGTAGATGAGATGGATGGTTTTTTAGTCACATGTTTACTATAATACGTTTTTGTTTTTCAAAATAGATTACTTTTACTATGTACTAGTTATTAGCTCGTGCGTTGCTACGAGCGCCTACTAAAATATAAATGAAATAACATGACATAGAATACAAAAAGAAGAGCAAAAAGAACCAATGACAAGTGTCTTAACTTGAGTTTTAATACATTTTTTGGCAAATCATTAATTTCATATATCTTGAAAAAGACCTTATGCTATGAACATAAACTGGAGACTTTTTTCTGTTCATTTTTGCTGGGCCATAAATTGGAAATCTCTTGCATTGTGTTGACAGATGCTTGTGTGAATAATAAAAAAATATAGGACAATAATTGTCATTTCATTGTATAATAGTTTTGCTAAGACAAATGCAGTAAAGGAAGAAATCTTGAAAACAATGGAAACCAACCATGGTCTCTCTCTGGATCTAGCAGTTTTATTAGTTCTAACAAAATGATAACTCTAATTGTGCTAAATCAACCAAATTCTAATAGTCAACAGATGGAGGGGGAATTGAAGCTCAACTTCCTGCTTTGGTATGGCTTGATCTAGGTGCCCTTCGTACTGTTGGTGGAGAAGGAATCCAGTGGAGGAGCTCTTGATCCAGCAAAGCCTAGCATTGTTGTTGGCGAGGGCTTGTGAAAGCTCTAGTTTGGTTTTGGTTAATTGATGAAACCCTAAGTGCTAACCTAGTTTATCAAGATGATTATGAGATAGGTAGCACTACTCCAAGTGATGAAGCAATGACGAAGATCATGACAATGGTGATAGCATGGTGATGATCAAATGCTTGAACTTGGAAAAGAAGAAAGAGAAAAACAAAAGGCTCAAGGTAAAATGTAGGAACCATTTTGTTTTAGTGATCAAGACACTTAGTGAGTGTGATCACATTTAGGATAGATAGCCGTACTATTAAGAGGAGTGTAACTCGTATCGAAATGCGGTTATCAAAGTGTCACTAGATGCTCTAACTCATTGCATATGCATTTAGGATCTAGTGGAGTGCTAACACACTTGAAAATATTTGTGAAAATATGCTAACACATGTGCACAAGGTGTTTGCAGGGTTGAGATGAGTTTGGGTCCCTCTCTAACTCTAACACATGCGCTTTTGGAAAAATGAAATGTCTATTTTCTATTGCGCCGGATGCAAAATTCTTGGTGGTTGGCACATTTGAGTAAGGGTGAAGAAGTTAGAGTTGAAATGGAGTTGGTCGAAATGATGCTGGCGTCGGTCTACTGACCGGACGCTGGGTCACTCAGCGACCGAACGCTGAAAGGCTGCGTCCGGTCGAGCTGTCAGACGGCACAGTGGGTAGGGTTGAGCACTGGACGCTGGTCTGCGTCCGGTCAAGGTGGACCGGACGCGTCCGATCGAAAAAAAACATGCCTCGGGGAGCTTACTGGAAACGACCGGACGCTGGGGCTTCAGCGTCCGGTCAGTTTTGACCGGAGCGTCCGGTCAGCTTCGTAGCCGTTGAAATCTGACGAACAGCGTTTGAAGCTGGTGACGCGTGGCGTCCATCGGGCGACCGGACGCTGAGGGCCAGCGTCCGGTCGGTATGACCGGAGCGTCCGGTCAGAGCGTGTTTTGCCCAGTGAAGGGGTACAACGGCTCTATTTGATGGGGGCTCTATTTATAGCCCCATGGCCGGCTCAAGGGAAAACGCTTGCACATTTTCATTGACATAGCAACCTTGTGAGCTTAGCCAAAGCCCTCCCACTCATCTCCATCATTGATCCATCATCATTGTGAGATTGGGAGAGAATCCAAGTGCATTGCTTGAGTGATTGCATCTAGTGGCACTTGGTATTTGTGTTGCGCTGCGGATTTCGCTTGTTTCTCTTAGTGGTTGCCACCACCTAGACAGTTGGAGCAGCGGTGAAGGATCGGCACGAGTTGGTGATTGTTCGTGGCCGCCTTCGGTGATTGTGAGGGGAGTTGTACCTTCCCCGGCGGAGCGCCGAAAGGTAACTCTAGTAAATTGCTCGTGTCATTGAGTTACCTCACTTGTGGGTTGGTTCTTGCGGTGTCCAATCGTGTGGACGAGGTTTGTGAAACACCTCTTAGCCGCCGAACCATCAAGTGTTGGTCGACACAACGGGGACGTAGCATGTTGGCAAGCACGTGAACCTCAGGAGAAAATCGATTGTCTCTCTTCTTTGTCATTCTCCCGGTGATTGGCTATATATTCATCTTGTGATTGGTTCATCCCCTACACGTCGGTATAATCACTCTACTCACTCATTTACATTCTTGCAAACTAGTTGATACAAGCTCTTTAGTGTAATTAGAATTGAGAGCTTGCTTTATTATTTACATTCATCTAGTTGAGCTCTTTAGAGTAGCAAGGTTGAGAGCTCTTAGTGAGTAATTACATAGCTAGTTTGTGTGCCTAAGTATTCATTGCAACTAGAATTGTTGGATAGGTGGCTTGCAACCCTTGTAGAGCTAGAGCAAGTTTGCATTACGCTATTTGTCATACTAATCAAATTGCTCTAGTTGATTTGTAGATTTTTAAATAGGCTATTCACCCCCCTTTAGCCATATTAGGACCTTTCAAGTGGTATCAGAGCCATGGTCACCGTTTGATTGAAGGCTTAACAACCTCGGTGTCAAATTATGGCTCAAGTTGTGTTCAACCATGTGGGGGGCAAACCACCATTCTTTGATGGCACAAGCTATGATTATTGGAAGAGAAAGATAAGTGTGTATCTTGGTTCAATCAATGATCAAGTATGGGATGTAACCGAGAATGATTATGCTATCATTAATCCCGACAATCCCACCAACCAAGATAAGTCTAACCAGCAATGCAATACAATGGCTCTCAACACCCTATACAATGCCCTTGATCCAAAGGTGTTTGAGCAAATCAAGGATTGTGAAAGAGCAAATGAAGTGTGGAGGAGATTGGAGGAAACCTATGAGGGCACACCGGAGGTGAAGAGTGCCAAGTTATATATTCTCAAGGACAAGTTGATAGGTTTCAAGATGAAAGATGATGAGAGCATACCGAAGATGTTCCATCGCTTGCAAGTCATTGTCAATGATTTGAAGGCTTTGGGAGAAAAGATCAAGAATGATGATGTCTCTCATCGGTTCTTGATGAGTCTACCTCCAAGGTTTGAAATGTTGAGAATGCTAATCATAAGAGGAGGATTAAAGGAGATCACCCCCAACCAAGTACTAGGTGAAGTCATGACACAAGAGACATACCGTGTGGAAAGGGAGGGGGATGACAAGGAGGACAAGAAGAAAGACGAGGACAAGAAGAAGAAGAGTGTAGCATTCAAGGCTAGCTCATCATCATACAAGAAC